ACCTGCCTCCCCTCCTGTCTCCCCTCCTACCTCCCCACCTGCCTCCTCTGCTACCTCCCCTCCTGCCTCCCCTCCTGCCTCCCCTGCTACCTCCCCGGCTACCTCCCTCCCCTCCTGTCTCCCCTCCTGCCTCCCCTGCTACCTCCCCGGCTACCTCCCTCCCCTCCTGTCTCCCCTCCTGCCTCCCCTCCTGCCTTCCCTGCTACCTCCCTCCCCTCCTGCCTCCCCTGCTACCTCCCCTCCTGCCTCCCCTCCTGCCTCCCTCCCTCCTGTCTCCCCTCCTCCCTCCCCTGCTACCTCCCCTCCTGCCTCCCCTCCTATCTCCCCTCCTGCCTCCCCTCCTGCCTCCCTCCTGCCTCCCTCCTGCCTCCCCTGCTACCTCCCTCCCCTCCTGTCTCCCCTCCTGCCTCCCCTCCTGCCTCCCCTCCTGCCTCCCCTCCTTCAGGCAGATGGAACCTCTACTTGATGACCTCACAAAAGCCCACTCACCCAGGCCACCACCCCTCACCAGCATCCAATGCACCACATGTGTATTGCCACTTGTTTTTATTGTGTGTCTGCCCACTGGGTGGAAACCTGTGAGGACAGGTTTTTTTGTCTGTGTTTACTGCTGTTCCTCCAACAGCTGCTGGTGCACAGCAGACTCCCACAACAGGTCATGATGGACAGATGGATGCATGGATAGGTGGAAGGATGGAGGAATGGACGGATGGCCAGACAGAATGGTAATGGATTGACGGACGGATGGATGGAGGAGTGGGTGGATACACTGATAGATGAACGAATGGCTGGGTGATGGATGGACACAGGGAGGGGTGGGGGAGGATGGTGGGTGGTCTGAAGATGTCGCAGGGCCCGGAGGTGTCCCCCGGCAGAAGGGGGAGATGTGATCACTTCTTCTTCCCGTCAGTCTGCTTCCTAGTCCAGTCCTAGTCCGTGGACGCTCATGCCCCGCCCAGTCCCTGTCTTGGTCTTGCTGCCGCCCAGTCACTGTTCCACACTTTCCTGTTTGAATTTCAGTTCTGGGCAGCCAAGCTCACCCTTACCAATTACAAAGGAAGATATTTCCTTTGTCCAGGAGTTCACAGCGCCAAAGCCGGGAGGCACCGGACTCTCAAGTAGCCAAGCGGGAGGTTTGGCCACAGCGTTTGTCATCTGTGCATCCGACGCAACAGTCTTCTCCCAGAGCATTTATTTAGCACCTACAGAGTACCCAGGCCTTGTGCTGTCTGTCTGGGGAATGAGGTTCGGGCTACAGGGAGACCTGAGCCTACTGAGATTGTACGTTCAGCTTTTAAAATCAAGGCTGCATCTGGTTTATCACTGAGTTCCCGCCCATTATACTAAACATTTATTAAGCTCCAGAATTTCAGTGATGCACTTAAGGTAATGGTGCAGAAGGAACCACCACAGCTGGGAGAAATTACTTAGAAATAATGTCCATCACCACAAGGCAGGCAGAGACATGCTAGTGATCTGAGAACAGCCCTGTAACAAGTGACAGAGTACTGACGAGAGAGGGAGAGAGGGGGAGAGGGGGAGAGGGGGAGAGGGGGAGAGGGAGAGAGGGGGAGAGGGGGAGAGGCAGAGAGGGGGAGAGGGGGAGAGGGGGAGAGGGAGAGAGGGGGAGAGGGGGAGAGGGGGACGGAGAGCGCAGGTGCCCTTTCTCAGGGGCTCTTGTGACTGACGATGGTCACCAGCTTCCTCCAAGACAGCCGGAGCTCAGGGCAACGTTGGGACTCTTCTAATCACAAGTGAATATGAACATTCCACTGAAACAAGGAGAGAAATGAAAGACATGAAATAGATGTGTATGCACACATAAACACACGCCTACACGCTGACATGCATGGGAGTCATTCAGAAAGCTCATGGAAAATGGAATTAAAAAGTCTATTTTGATGCAAAAATTTTTAAAGTCCTTTTACAGTTCATTCACAACACAGGTTGAGTTTTCATCAACTTTTAAAAATATTCCTTTTAAAAATTTCAAAATTTTGAGCCCTACCGTAAACTCATTTCTTAAAATTCCACTTTTTACAGACTTCTGGAAGTAGCCAGATAGACTCAGAAGAAAGACCACAAAGACCACGGCAGCCCACGGTGTGTAGCTGGGGTGTCCTTTGAGTGCAGGGACCCCCGTGACCGCCTCCAGCCTAGGAAGCTGCGTATTTTGCGAGGGCGTCACGAGCAGCTCCATCTGGGTCAAAACTCGGACCTGAATGCCGATAACGCTCAGTTAGCCTGAGGTCTCGCTGGCACTTCTCTGGGCAGAAGCTCAGCGGTAGGGATCCCTCGGCTCTTGGAAGCTCCAAGTGTGTGAGCACACTCTGTCCCCAGTTAATGAGAAGCCGATAAACCCGTCCCATCTGCTCGGCTCACTGAGCTAGTTACAAAAGCTCGATGCTGAGAGCATGAGATTTTTCCATCTGGGCACCAGCCATGTTGCAGACAGTGTGTTCCCACAGGGAGTGAGTGAGGGAGGCTGCCCGTGCATGGTGGGCGGCCTTCCCGGCCCCTATGCACCAGGGGCAGCAGCCCCACGGGGCAGTGTGCAACGACCCCCGGGGGACAGAATGCCCCCGGTTGAAAACCACTGGTCCGGAAGAATTATCTGGAAGTAATGTGTCTAATCATGAGCTTATTTATGTAGATGCAGTTTCTCTGGCTCTCTGGCTGATGGCGCCTATGCAAGCACTCCTGGAACCCTGGGTGTGGAACTGCGCCCGAACCCTCACCGCAGCAGTTTGGGAAAGTTTAGTCTATTCTGGGTCATTCTGAGTGGGAGGCGTGGACGAAGAGGCGGGCACCTCGTGATCAGAAGTGGGGTGCTTGTCTTTTGTCCCTTGAGCCTGGCCCGTGGGTCCTGTGATGGGACATTGAAAACAGCGCAGCTCCGACTAAGGGACTTCTCCATGTTCGTCAGGGGGAGAGTTGCTGTCCTGGGCTCTGGGGAGGAGAAATGAGCTCACGTCGAGATCACGAGTGACGACGGCTTTCGGGGCCGCCCAGGAGCGTGTTCCCAGGCATGGTAGGGTCTGGATGGGCATCGATTCCCGGAGGACGGCTCCAGGATGAGAGGTGGTGCTCCCTCTGCCGGCCGAGCGGGCACCGTGTTAAGGAGGAGCTTGGGGCCACCCGACAGCCGCTGGGGTGAGGGACCTGTGCCCTCACCTTCCCGCGCTTGCTGCCACTGGGAGGTGGGAAGCTCCTGAGAACAACCCGGCCCATCCGAGGGCGTGGTCCCAGGTCTGAGGTCCCAACAGGGGGCCAACTGCTGCTTCAGCTCTGAAAACTCACGGTCAGAGTCCTCAAAGCCTCATCACGCCAAAGAGCACAGACCTGCCCCTCTCTACCGGAGGCTGCCCGGCTGGCCCCCAGGAGGGGACTGCAATCGGGAGACCACCACCTGCTTTGAATACAGAACCAGAACATGGGGTCTGCTAGGTGTCACCTCACTCAAGGGACACCGTATTTGAAACTGGGACCACCCCAGGCCAGCAAGGTGCTGATGACACAGTCAGCAATGCCAGCCCTCTACACGCATGTACCCTACACATATGCCG